GTTACCACTCAGCTCTGTGTTTGTCTCCTGAAAAGTGTTGATCAGAATCATGGCTGCTACCAGCCAGGCAGGATTCTTTCCTTGTCAGTTGATTCCTTCCTGTAGCTAATCCCCATCCAGTGTTATCCAGCTGTTGATGTCCTCATTCCCTTCACAACAGGCACTCCTTGCTTTGGCTTTTGTCCCATGGAAACACAGCCCTGCCAAATCCCTCTGTGATGAGCTCCCTCCCCTGCTCTGCTGCTGCAGGATCAGCATCTGCCCTCGCCATGGCTCAGTGCTTCCACCTCTCCCTGCTCAGGGCACAGAGGGGCTGGAGATGGTGGAGGCAGCCTGGGTGATGCCCTGGAGCCCTGCACACCTGCACCTTTCACCTGGGCTGAGACAGGCTGGATGCCTGTGCCCACCTGCAATGGGGTTGTCTATCAGCTTTGCATCACTGCTGCAATTAATGGCTGAGAAGAGTTAATGATGTTTCCAGAGATGGACTTTTAGCTTCCAGCCCTATTTTCTCTTGCTTATGGTGGTCATCACAGGGTGTCTTCTGAGCAGGAGCAAACACACACACACACACACACACGCACACACATACAGACACACACAGTTTTCATGTGTGGCCACATTTCCCAAAGATCAGACCTGAATCTGTGCTGCTATAAACAAAAGACTAGACATAAAGTCAATAAACGTGACTTTACACAGCTATAAATCCTCTCATCCTGTCATCTTCCCATTCAGCCAAGAAAGATATGAGAATTATGTAGGCTCAGCAGCAGAGGTTCATAGCTCTGGAAGTAGCTGTGTTAGTGGTAGGCTTCATAAGGGCAACTCATGTCCCCTAAACTACCTTTTTTCCTGCTGGAGCTGCTCACTGTACCACAGCAAGCTGCTCATATGGAAGCTCTTTAATTTCTCCTGGGTAAAGTCAAACCAAATCTTTCCTATTTGACTGAAGAGGAATATAGTGCAACACACTAAAGCAGCAGATCCATCAGTCCTTGGGAGGTGAGGAAAGAGCAGCTGGGAGAGCAGCCTCAGCTTGTGGCTGTCAGATGAGGATGTTTGGCTACAATCTAATTGTAATGGATGTCTGAGTCCACACATAGATTGATTAAAATTGATTAAGAAAATCTATCGGACTCTTTCAAAGCTAAGTGAAGTCAGTGGGAAACAATCCTTTTCACTGAATTTTCTGATACTGAGTTAAAACCCTAGAATACTCTGTCATTAAATAATTTGGTTGGCAGAAAAAATTGAGAAATTTAGTAAATCAAGGATTGGAGAACTAAATGGGGTTTGAAATGACACATTTGGTTCCTGGCTCTTCACAGATTTACTGCTTGGCATTGCTCAAGTTCACTGGTCTTTTTGGCCATCCCTTCCTAGTATGGATAGATATGACTGTGGGGATAATTTTTCTCTCTCTCTTTTTTTTTTTTTTTTTTTTTTTTTTTTTTTTTTTTTTTTTTTTTTTTTGAGGTCAGCTGTCTCTTCTTTCAGTGTGTCTACAACACAATGTACCTGGGAGGTCTTAGCTGGGGTCCCTGACCTGCTTTACCAGACATGAAAAAACAACAGCAACAAAAAGAAGTCAGAAACAAAGGGCAAAACGGGTTTCTTTACTTCTTTAGTGGTACACCAGAAACAAGTGTAAGGCTTGGAGCATGGCAGGCTGGTGCTACAGTTCCTCTGAAGGCTGATCTCTTCTGCTCTGTATTCAGCTCCATGAATACCACATTCCTCTTTGCCTTCCTACCTATAGTGTGACAGCTGTATAGCATACTGTTCTTGTTTGCAAAATTGATTATTTTCCACAATAGGCTGAGAAAACATCAGAATAAGGGAAACAAAGTTACTTTTAAAAATAAATTATCAGTCAGTGATATGTTCCTCTGTTTTTTAGTGAATAATATATACATTCATATAGTGACCATAATAATTCATGTTTTTTGACTTGGTATAAAATGCTGAAGAATGTCTAGTGATACCACTTTATCTATGCATTTAAAGTTCAAATATAATTCCAAAGCATTGTTAAATACAGCTTCACCTAGCTGTATATTTCAAAGTTCATGGGGTGTTTTATTTCTAGGCTTTAGATCTTTTAATTCAGCTAAAAAGTGACTTTAGTAAGTGACTTCGTAAATAATTTTAAAAATAGCACTCTTACACTGTAATCATGCCAGGAGAAGTGAAAGAGTAGCTGAAGTGTCAGAGCTTATGAATTGCAGCAAAGGTATCAGTGTCTTGGTGAAGTCTATGCCACCTGGAGAAGCAAGGCAACATTTTGTCTCTTTCAAATTAGTTAAAAGAATTATACAGGCAGTAAAATGTTTATTGATCTTTATCACATTCCTGCTCTGCAATAACTTTGCTCATTTACTGTATGTAAGAATACCTTGAGTGTGCCTGCGACTGGGACACATCTGGGACTGGGACAAGTCACCATCTTTGGTTGTTCTTGGCCAAGCAGGTCAACATTGTCCCCTTGAGGCTTTGAAGGATGGTTATACTCAGAGAAATGCCTAAAAATGCTGCTACTTTTGTTGTCCTTCTATGGTATCTAGTTCAGATTTGCTTTGTCTGTAGGTAATAAGACAATGTTTCTAATTGTCAGCTCTGCATGTGTGATAAAGAACGAAAAGTGGAGCAGAATGTTTTCTTGACTTTGACATCAATAATTGTGGAGATGCTGGTGCATAGCTGAGGTGAGCAGTGTGTGACTGAGCAGTATCTGGCTTTTCTCATCTGCTCCAGCTTGAGGGCAGGGTGCTGAGAGAACGCTGATTTCACTGGTAAGGGTCTCCTGAGGAAGATGCTTTCCTGTGGCTGGCTGGTGTTTAGGTTTTAAGCTTCTCACTGCTGTGCTGCTCAGTGTTTGCAGCCTCTCAATGGTCACGTGAAAGAGTGAGACCGCACACCCTGAGACACAGCACCCACAACTCAGGCCAAGCAGTGGCACTGTAAAGTCCTAAAGTGTACTTACAGAACTTTGTCCCATGATTTCTCTGCCTGTATCTCAGTTGCCTGACAAAACTGTGTCCTCCTGTGAATCTGAGCAAAATGCAGTAGATTATAGTCTGCATGGAGCTATTCTAAGATATTTAAAAGTGAATAAAAAACAGCACAGGGAAACTAAAAATAACACTACCATTCTGTGGAAAGCATGGATGTACCACGACAGAAGCAGAGTTAGGAATGAGAAACTTAGCCTGGTCCAGTTAAAGGCAGTCGGGTTAAATTGATGCTAATGATGGTGTGAAAATGTGCAGCGGGTTTGAAAGCGGCTTCTCCGTTCAGGGCAGATGCTGCAGCCCCTGGGGCGAGCTGTCGGTCTGTCCGCAGTGGAACAGCTGTGAGTTGTGCGGGCAGCCCGGGGCCAGCGCAGCACTGACCGGGGCAGGGGCGGAAGGGCCCCGGGTGATGCTCCCGAAGTGTCGGGGCTCGCCCGCGACCCTCGGGGAGCCGCAGGCCTGGCCCGGTGAGCGCTGGCACCGGCCGGGGGCTGTTCAGTGCCGCCCTTTCCGATCCGCGGGGGCAGCGCCAGATCCTCCGGGAAGGCACCGACCCCTCCGCAGCCCTTTGCTCCGCTCCCTCCATCCATCCATCCATCCATCCATCCATCCATCCATCCATCCATCCATCCATCCATCCATCCATCCATCCATCCATCTCTTGGCCACATCTTCTGCCGACACCGGAGCCACGTGCGCGGCCGCACGGGTCCCTTGCCAGCCCGTTCCCCGCGGGGCCGGACGGGGCTCGGGGCTGTTTTACCCGCCGGTTCCCCGTAGGGCTGGACGGAGCTCGGCGCTGTTCTGCCCGGTGCGGACGGTGCCGCGGGGCGATCCCGGGGCTGGGCGCTGTTCTGCCCGGTGCGGGCGGTTCCGCGGGGCAGTCCCGGGGCTCGGCGCTGTTCTGCCCGGTGCGGACGGTGCCGTGGGGCGATCCCGGGTCTCGGCGCTGTTCTGCCCGGTGCGGGCGGTTCCGCGGGGCAGTCCCGGGGCTCGGCGCTGTTCTGCCCGGTGCGGGCGGTGCCGCGGAGCAGTCCCGGGGCTGGGCGCTGTTCTGCCCGGTGCGGGCGGTTCCGCGGGGCAGTCCCGGGTCTCGGCGTTGTTCTGCCCGGTGCGGGCGGTGCCGCGGGGCGGTCCCGGGGCCGCGGCCGTGCCGGGCCGGGGCTGCAGGGCCGAGGCGCGGCCGCCAGGGGGCGCTGCTGCTCGCGCGGCGGGCGGGCCCGCCCCGCGCACACGGACCGGGACCGGGACCGGGACCGGGACCAGAACCAGACACGGACCGCGACCGGACACGGACCGCGCACACAAGCCGGGACCGGGACCGCCCCGCCGCCGCGCTGCCGGCTCCGCTCTCCCAGTGCCTGCGCGGCGGGGGACGCCCGCAGCCCGCCGGCATGGAGCCGTAGAGGGGAGCTGCTCTGGAGGTGAGTTCTGCGCGCGGCGCTTCTCGCGGCAGTTCCCTTTTCAATTAAAACAGAAAAAGAAGAAAAAAAAAATGCCTCGGAAAAAGAAAAGTTCGTCCCTTCCCGAGCTGCCGCGCGCTGGACGGGGCTGAGCTGCGGCCGCTGCCCCGGGTCCGTCCCGCAGCCCCGGGGGCGGGCGGAGGGACCCCGCGGTCCCGGGGCTCGGAGCGGATGCTCGGGGCCGGATCCGTCCGTGGCCGCGCGGCCGCTCCGCCGCTCCCCTGATCGAGCCCTGCTGCTGTTGGAGGCGCCGGGAATGTTTTCTGTCACGAAAGGGAGGTCTCGGTTGATACCGAGGGTTTCTCAGCCTCGCGAACGCGTGTGAGGCTTCCCGGGAAAAGTGTTACTGCCGGAGATTTAAAATAAAAACACTAGAGTAGTTGCCTTTTGGGATGTTGCAGCGCGATGGAGTCTGTTGAAGTGGTGCCGGTGCTTTGGAGGCTTGTCCGCTCTGAGTTACCGTGCTGGGTGTTGAACAGTGGGACTTGAAACCCCTGTTTGCCTCTGAAAGTTCCGTGACAATAAAGCTGCTCTGGTTTCCTTTGGAGTCTGATGGAAATCTGCTGAAGGGCACCAAATATTTCGGAACTGGCTTGGATTCAGTGGCTATTTTCAGAGAGCCTTTCCCTGGACTGCTGTCCCTGCTAGGATTCAAAGAATCGAAAGTTTCTGGTGGAAAATGCTGTAAGCTGATGTTTCTCAAAGTTGTAGTAAGGTCTGTGTACTTTTGGCAATTTCTGCGCCTGTTGGATTAACACCCGAACTCGGGTTTGTGCCGCGAGGGAGAACCCATTGTGACAGGAGCCAGCACTTGGTAGTGCTCCTCGGCAGTGTTTACACTCTCTTTTTAAAAAATCCTGATTGTTTAAAAAACAGTAACATATTTTTAGTGTCTGTGTAAGGTTTGTGGATGTTACAATACTACTACCAGAGTTTTCAGAGAATTGTTAGTGGTGGGGCAGGCGAGGTGAGCTGCTGCGGGCAGGGCCAGTTTCTCGGTGCCCAGGTGCTGTGTGAGCGTTTGTGGCTGTCGCGTTCTCGCCCGAGACCGGCTCTCATTCGCCCTAAACGCTTCCCGTCCGTGCCAAAAAGGGAATGTTGATTCTCATCGAGGCTAAACCTCTGCAGCTGCGTGGCTTTCTGTGGTGTCCGTAGGAGCAGGTGAATGCCTGCCCTGCCGCTGGGTAGCGCATGGGAAGGAGATTCCCTGGGGAGGCAGGAGCGGGCTAGCCTGGATGGGGACATGGTGTCTGAAAAGCTTTGCTCATGCCAGACCCGAGGCAGGAGGTAAGCCTGGGTGGAAGCTGATAGCGAGGCGAGTGCTTGCTTTGCGATAGAGTGACTGCAGAGGAGACAGTAGGACACGCAGGGATTTGGGATTTTGGGCTCCCTAAGCTGGCGGGTGTAATGCATGTGCAGTGAGGATGAGAAGTGGAGAGTTCTGGCAGTTCCCCGAGGCACAGGCAGCAATCTTTGGGAGCGAGTCCGTGATTCATCAGGGGCTGTAACTGGCGATGTGCAGGATGGCTTTCTGAGAAATCACTAAGGATCGAATCCTTCTGAGGATGTTTCTCTGGGCACAGGAGACCTCTTGCAGTGGGAGGACGGGGGCTTGGGCCGACCTCCGTGCAGAGTGCTTGTGTTGCTAGGCAGCAGCTTGCACCTCCAGCGTGCTCCAGATCCGAGCCTGCGAGGGGAGACCTTCCTCCCCTGAACTGAGGCTTTCCAGCTGGTGACCAAGGGTAGAAAGCACATATCCTGCGGGTGTGGATGCAAGAGTACCATGCACTTCTTGCTTGCCCCTGGGTATTGCAGAGGGGTGGTCAGCTGGGAGCGTTCAGGGTTGTTAGCTGAGAACAAGACTTTATACTCACCCACCTACTTGGGCTGCAGGCAAGCACGGGAGAGAAATGACTCTTTGTTCCATTTGTAAGGCTTAAGAGTTCTCTGCAGAGCACCTTTTTTCTTTCACAGTACCTGGAAGCTCCTGGGAGGTTTATCTTCAACTTGTTTGGTGATTGATGCTTTAACAGTTAAATGGGGGGAGGGAAAAGAGAGGAAGATTTGCTGGGACAAGAGGTAGGATGGAAGGCCAGATGTGCCACATTAATGCACTTAGCCAGCATGAGTCAATTTTAGTGGATGCCACACAATTGCTGGAGCCTCAGTGCACGAATGGCATCAGCCAGCATTTTTTGAACTGCTCTGTGTCTCGCAGAGCAATGGAAAGCCTTTTAATTTTCAGAGCTGCCAGTCTGGTGACTGCACTTTGAAGCAGTGCAGTAGCTGAAGCTGTCAGAAGCTAGCGGGGGGGACTGACCACTCTCCAAACAGAAGTCAGATCAAAAGCGAGCCTGAAAGGGTCAGGAGGGATTCATAGGCTGGTGTGGTGAAGGTGAGCTCAGCAGAAGGGCTGTTCTTGTGGCACAGATCACTTCTGATCGGGCAGGGATTGGTGCTGTGAGAGAAGGAGGAGGAAGATTCCCGGTTTGATTGAAGCTGCAGGCTCGGACCTCAGAAGAAGCTGGACTTGGCAGCCTTAAACCTGGATGGGGCTGCAGAGGAGTGTGGAAGTGGAGGCAGGTAGGAACACACTTGCTGGTCGCAGGATCTCGTGGGTGTTGTGCTGTGCTGCTGTGAGATAAGCTTGAGCCATGGAGGCTTTAGAGTGGGTTTGTCTGAAGGTGTCAGGCAGCTGCTGGACACAGCAGATGTGTGAGGAGCCCAGCAGAGATGCAGATAGGCTGCTGGAGAGCAAGGAGGAGGGAATGGGGACAGCACTGAGGCCTATACCCCTTGGGATGCTCTGCCTGCTTGGAGAGGACAGGGGTATCCAAGCTGTCTGGATGGGACGTTCCTGTAAAGGGATTTGGTTGGTTTGCATAGTCCGAGTAAAATTTTCCCATTACTGTTCTCAGCTGTTTCCTTGGGAGAGAAGAATGAATAGGTGTTACAGTAATCTTAAATCTATGGAGAACAGTGTCCTCTATGTGGCATTTGGAAGGAAGAGAGTGTTCTAAACTTCCCAAGCCTATGATGCCCTTGTGGGACCAGAGGTAGAAGAAAAGTTCCAAAGGAGCACGTGCAGCCAGTCATCCCTGCTGGCTGAGGTGGGGAGCTGCCAGGGATGGCTGGGACAGGTGGCCTTGATCTGTGTCTGAGGGAAAAGGCTGAGGAGTTGTGCTCACTGTGAGAAGTACAAATAAAGCATTTATAGTGTATGGACTTTTCCTGCTCTCTGAAACATTCAGGCTCAGAGTAATCTCTGACTTCAAACTGAGGCTCAAGCTGAAAATAACAAGAGATGCTAAATTGTGAACAATTGTTAAACAGCCTTAAAGAACTGTATGGGAAACTGTGTCTGCTCTTCATTTCTAAGCCTTCCTCAAACAATGAAAGTCTGAGCTATTTATCAGGAGCTCTTTTAGTGCTGGAAGGGAAAGTGAACATTTAAAGTGTATCACAAAATAAAGAGGCACTTTAAGAGGCAATTTGCTTTTCAGGATGTCCAACTAAAAATAAATCTTTCTTTAAACAGCCTTGGAAAGAAAACAAAGAGAAAAGATCTTGCCCTTGCTGAGAATAAGGAAAATGTTTTTGCTAGCTTTGATGCTCAGGGTTTTCTCTGGTATCTGGTACTAGATCCAGGTAAACCCTCTTGGAATTGGTGGTGAACTGAGGGCTGTTATATTCAGTAACAAAGCTGGTGAGAGAGAGAGACACTGTTAGAAACTTCTGTAGGGGCTTTGGCTAATCTTTTCCACCCCAAAAACACTACAGAGAGTTCCACCCCTCTTTTTTTTTTCTTTTTTAATTTGCAAGTTAATTCACAAGGATATCTATTTGACAGAGCAATTTCAGGGCACATAAAATATGTGTTTTACTTTTATTTTGGCTGCATGAGAACAAATCTCCTTTATTTTCAAGATTTCCATAAAATGTGTCAAAGTAGCAGTCTATAAGCAGTTTCTTATGGTTCTCATATTCTGGGAGATGTTGTTTCTTTGCTTACTTAATTATATTCTTATTTTCACTAAGACAAATCTGGCAATACGTATGTGTAAAGTCCAGTCTCTGGTTATGTAAGGGGAAAAAAAAATCCTCATCAAGAATCTGTTTATCACTTTAAGGAACAGAGATGATGCCGAGTTCAGTGAAAGCAACTTGCCTCTGCTGACGGCAAAATGCCATGTCTGGCTTCTCTGGGACTGTTTTCTAAGTGGAAAACTGTAGATGAGTGTTTTATAAGGAGCCTGACAGCTGGTATGTCATCTTTTCCTGTTAATTCTGTCTTCTTTGAGCATTATGTATTAGTTAGGAAAGCGTGTGGCCATGGATGAGATCAAGGAATGAATTTCTAAGCACATCGCATGCAGAACTATTCTCACAGCCTGTTTCATTTATGTGCAGGAGTGATTTTGGACCAGATTTGCCATGAATAGTACAAATATTGTTATTTTGTTAATATTGCAGAGCTATGAGCGTGTCTGAGAGCAGGGATAATGTCAGCAGGGCTGACAGTTACAGCTGTAGTCTCTCTGCTGTGTGGTCGTGGAAAGAGGCTTGTTTTAAAGGCTCTGTAAAAGCAGGGAACATTTCAGCATGCAGATGGCAGCCCAGTCTAAAATCTAGTTCTGTTTGTGCTGAGCACCTCCGTAAGGAGCCTTGAGGAGCTCAAGGGGAACGAGAGAAGTGATGGGGAAAAAGAGGAGGGATGTGCTATCTTTCAGGATTGAGACCTCCCTTTGAACTGTCTCTCTTCATTTTTAATAGCTTTTCTGCAAAAGCTGCTTGGGGAGCAGGGTTAAAATGGGTATGAAAGAAGCAAAGCATCTAATCTTTTGGGTTAATAATGCTCCTCGTGTAGTTAGCTGCGAATTGGACAGACTTCCTTATTGATATAAGAGCAGAGAGCAGTGAGTGAGATTGGTTTGGGTGAGAATGGCCTTTTCTCATCTCTTTTAATCTGCAATGTCTTCTCCTTCTGTAGTTGAGGCTCTATAGAGAGGACCTGTGATCTCTGGCAGGGCTGTCTAAAGCACTCAGGCGAAAACAGCCATGACCTGAGCAGTGATGTTTGTTCTGGGTGTCAGCAGCTGAAGAGCTGGAGTCATGTGCAGCCATGGTTTTTCTGGAATTTACAGGCTTTTTCAGTGACTCTGAAGCCTGAGAGTTCTCGTCAGCAACTTGGTTTTTTTCACTCAAGAGATCTGAAAAGCAGGAGTCAGAGTCATTTTATCCCAGGGCAGGCTGGTTGGGCTGGGTCTGAGAGTAGTCTGAGCTCGTCTCAGCACAGAAGAAATTTGCCATCCTGGGACAATGCCCAGCAACCTTGTCAGCTTTGAGAGGCATCTGTGGTCACCCATGGCTGGGGCTCCTCTGTCCCCTGAGATGACTGTGATTGCTGCTGCACTTTGCTCTGCATTAGGAACTTACTGCTGTAACAGCATCAGTTCTAGGACTTAGGCTGATTCAAGGTGATTCTTAAAATCTCTCCCCTTTCCTCAGTGCTAGTGTACATGTTTAGCTTTCCAAATGTAGATTGTCTTCACATTTTCTTTCTCTCCCCCCGTGGGCTTTTCTGTAAGCTTTTAAGTACTTCTTCAAGGTGGTGAGAGGCTAAGCCCCACTCTGTAAACCTAAACTCTGTCTCCGAGAGTCTTTACATTTCCTACAGTACTTCA